GGTGCGCACCTTTAATCCCAGAACTCAGGAGGCAGAGGCAGGTGGATCTCTGTGAGTTCGAGGCCAGCCTGGTCTACAAGAGCTAGTTCCAGGAAAGGAACCAAAGCTACAGAGAAACCTTGTCTTGAAAAACCCAAAAAATAAAAAATGAAAGGAAAGGAAGTAGGGAGGGAAGGAGGGAGGGAGGAAAGGAGAGAGAGAGAGAGAGAGAGAGAGAGAGAGAGCTGGTGAAGATGCAATTGTTCCAGCCACAGTAAACATCAGGACTTGGCAACTTTGGTCACGTGGTTCTGACTACGGAATTTGCCCCTGCAAATAAGGAAAGTCACTGAGGCCAAGCATGTGTCAGGGAAGTCCACGAATGGAGACCTAGAGAGGCCATTGTGTGATGCTGTGAAGGTGAAGCCTGGATTGCCTTGGGAAACCCAAAATGTTAGAGATGCCAGGGTTGTGGGATATCTACTGAGGAAATCTGCTAAAAGGGAGTGGAATCACCCAAGAAAAGGAAGTGTGCTGTAGTCAACAAAGCTGAATGGGATTGGAGATCTGGAGAGCACTGTGACACCAGACATGGAGACTCAGAGTGTGGAGTTTGTCCAGCTGGCATTTGGTCTTGTTGTGGTCCAGGATTTCCTCACTGTGCTCCCTTCCTTATGTTTTGGAATGGTGATGTAAATCCTGTGCCATTATATGTTGGAAGTATGTGATCTGCTTTTTGATTGTAATTTTACAGGGGATTACAGTTAAGAAATTACATGCGTCTCAGACGAGACAAATTTGGTACTGTTAGAGACTAATTGGACTGAATGCGTTTTTTGCAATATGATACGGCTACAAGCTTTTGAGGCCGGGGAGCAGAATGTGCTGTTTTGAAAGAAAATGGTCCCCAAAGGGAGTGGCACTATTAGGAGATGTGGCCCTGCTGGAGGAAGTGTGTCACGGTGGAGGTGGACTATCAGGTCTTATATATGCTCAAGATACCACCTAGAGTCACAGTCCACTTCCTGTTGCCTTCTGATCGAAAGGAAATCAACACCATGTCTGCCTGCACACTGCCATCTGCCCATCATGATGACCAGAGACTGAACCTCTGAACTGTAATCCGCCATCTCAATCAAATGCTTGATAAGTGTTGCCCTGACCATGGTGTCTCTGCACAGCAATAGAAACCCTAACTAAGACAAGGATTGTATGATAGGATGAAAGCCCAGTACTATGATACACAGATGCAGGTTATTTGTAGCAAACTATGCAAAAGCCGAGGACTGGCTCTTACTGCTGGATGTAGCTGGAGCATCAATGGCTACCGCGTTCCGTTTTAAATCCTGCTGGGCCAACAGCACACCCAGTCTAAACCCCCGCAGCAAGTTCAGTGATTTTAAGGGATAATGTTAAAATGAAAATGCTAATCAATTTAAAATTAAGTTTGAATCTTGGTCTTATAGAAGCTAATAACTTGTTCATGACTCTTTAAAAAATAATTAAGGGGGAACTGGGAGGGGAGGGAGGGAAAGCTGGGGTCGGGATGTACTGCATAAGAGTAGAATAAATTAAAACATTTTTAAAAATTATAACATAAGTGTTGATAGGCACCTAATAAATGACTAATCTGTTCAGAACTATGCTTATGGTCACACTGGCTACAAATGTAATTTATTTACATGAATTACTCCCTATGTGTGTTTTCAGGGCTAAGCCTTAAACAAATAACTAAAAACACAAATAAAGTTTATTTAAAGCAGGTATTCTTAATAGATGGCCCTTAACACTTTTCAGAGCTCTGCTGGATATGGCATTTAAAATGTTTAATGGAAAAGTTTCCAATGATTGGCAGAAATGCCAGCTCCTAGAGGTGACCCTAACACGCCAAAGAAGACAGATGGAGCAGATGCACGATTGTGGTCACGCTAACCACTGGGAAGAGCTGCCCATGCCTTGCCTGCTGCCATGATCCTGCCCAAACTGTGGACACTGTAGGGTTGACTCTGGCTCCTCAACGTGAGGTCATTTCTCCCAGGTGTCTTCTCCACAGGAAAATCTCTCAGGCTTTCTGGATCTGGTAGCTGGAGATGAATAATATCCTATATGACAGCCAAAGACTGACCTCTGTGCCCAGCAAAACTACCAGCAGAGCCTAGGGTAACTGTCCAGGTAACTGTAAGTCTGTAAGTTCTGATACCCTGGTAAAGCACTGAGCTATTATTATCAAGGTTTTAAATTTCCTTTGGATGTCTTCCAAATAGAGACTTGAAAATGCTTCTCATAATGCTAAAAATATCTCTCCCCAATCTATATCCAGCCCTCTGGACATGAGGGGACACACACACACACACACACACACACACACGCACAAAGAATGTCCTTATGTCCTTGCCTTTTAACCCAAAGCCATAGTTTTTGCGGTGAGTCTACTCCAGCTGTTCACAGTCACCCATTAGCTGCATTTTCTACAATGAGGATTTTAGCACAGCTGGCAAACAGTGGTGATGCTAATATAACTGTTAACTTAGAGTTAACTAAGTAATTCCTGTAAGCTTCAGGAAGTCGAGGAGGTCAGAAGACTTGACTCCACCTCTCATGGATCAAAAGAAGCCCAGATAAGCGTTCCTGTCAATAGACAGCCTGTTCCCCACATTGCCTGTTCCAGAGGGCGCGGTCTCTCTCTCTCGCTCCCCCACCCTCCCACTCCAGTCTTGAGACTCCTCCTCTCCCACAACTACCAAGATTATAAACCAGTAAACTCCAAAGGTAAACGTTTCCTTTATGTTCTTTAACTTCTGTCTCTGGCCTGTATTTTGTTCAAACCCCTGCTTTAGGGAGATAGCCTTGTCTGACAGAAAATACAACTCGCTTAATTGATTAACACCTACTTCCTATTTTTTTTTTCATAGAAATGTATATGTTCCCCCTCCTTTTTGTTTTAATTAGTTCTTTGAGAACGTTGTAAGAGTCTCTGTGGATGAAAACACCAAGCACTCTGTCTGGGACTGGCTGCTCCCAGAGTTTGACTATGAGCCACCTGTTGCAAGTGGTGCTCCTAACCACTGAGACATCTTGCCAGCACCAAAACTATAGCTCTTTAACGGCTCATTCAATACAAAGACAATGACAAAATCCTGTTCCGTGTGGCAGTTTGCTGCCTGCCTACTGCAGCCAGGGACCCGCCAACATTTTTAAAAAATCATAAAACTGTCTATCTTTCTACAACAATCGTTCCCTTTGATTAAAAATTTTTCTTCTAAAAAAAAAAAATTCGTCTGCTTGAAGAGAAAAAGGAAAGAGGCAGAAGGTAAGACCCTGTGGCTGAAAGGACTACTTGCCCTGGTTGCCGGACATGGTACTCAGGTCAGAACTGAGCTGGAGGCTTCTTCCCTGCCCACTAGCTCATTTATTAAGGAACTGGGAGTATTTTTTTACAACGCATTTTGATATACTTTAACTGACGTGTGTAATGGTTGTATTTTTATTTTTGAGAAGTGTTTAACATTTGGGGGGTTTGTTTTTTGTTGGTTTTAAACAGACTCTCACAGAGCTCAGCCTAGACTCAAACACACTATGTAGCAGCGGCTGGCTTTGAACTCCTGGTCCTTCCACCTCCACTTCCCGTGTGCTGGGATTAAAGGCATGCACCACACCTGGCATAAAAATCGTGTTTTTTCTGGTTATATCATCCATTGTTGTTCTCACCCAAGAGGAGCACAGGATAAATGCCTTGTGACGTTTTCACTGAGCCCCAGAGTTCCGGCTGGGAGCACACACTCCTGTGATCACAAGTCTAAGAGACCCTGAGCTGAGTGAGGAGGGCGTTGTAAAGGTNGATGCACGATTGTGGTCACGCTAACCACTGGGAAGAGCTGCCCATGCCTTGCCTGCTGCCATGATCCTGCCCAAACTGTGGACACTGTAGGGTTGACTCTGGCTCCTCAACGTGAGGTCATTTCTCCCAGGTGTCTTCTCCACAGGAAAATCTCTCAGGCTTTCTGGATCTGGTAGCTGGAGATGAATAATATCCTATATGACAGCCAAAGACTGACCTCTGTGCCCAGCAAAACTACCAGCAGAGCCTAGGGTAACTGTCCAGGTAACTGTAAGTCTGTAAGTTCTGATACCCTGGTAAAGCACTGAGCTATTATTATCAAGGTTTTAAATTTCCTTTGGATGTCTTCCAAATAGAGACTTGAAAATGCTTCTCATAATGCTAAAAATATCTCTCCCCAATCTATATCCAGCCCTCTGGACATGAGGGGACACACACACACACACACACACACACACACGCACAAAGAATGTCCTTATGTCCTTGCCTTTTAACCCAAAGCCATAGTTTTTGCGGTGAGTCTACTCCAGCTGTTCACAGTCACCCATTAGCTGCATTTTCTACAATGAGGATTTTAGCACAGCTGGCAAACAGTGGTGATGCTAATATAACTGTTAACTTAGAGTTAACTAAGTAATTCCTGTAAGCTTCAGGAAGTCGAGGAGGTCAGAAGACTTGACTCCACCTCTCATGGATCAAAAGAAGCCCAGATAAGCGTTCCTGTCAATAGACAGCCTGTTCCCCACATTGCCTGTTCCAGAGGGCGCGGTCTCTCTCTCTCGCTCCCCCACCCTCCCACTCCAGTCTTGAGACTCCTCCTCTCCCACAACTACCAAGATTATAAACCAGTAAACTCCAAAGGTAAACGTTTCCTTTATGTTCTTTAACTTCTGTCTCTGGCCTGTATTTTGTTCAAACCCCTGCTTTAGGGAGATAGCCTTGTCTGACAGAAAATACAACTCGCTTAATTGATTAACACCTACTTCCTATTTTTTTTTTCATAGAAATGTATATGTTCCCCCTCCTTTTTGTTTTAATTAGTTCTTTGAGAACGTTGTAAGAGTCTCTGTGGATGAAAACACCAAGCACTCTGTCTGGGACTGGCTGCTCCCAGAGTTTGACTATGAGCCACCTGTTGCAAGTGGTGCTCCTAACCACTGAGACATCTTGCCAGCACCAAAACTATAGCTCTTTAACGGCTCATTCAATACAAAGACAATGACAAAATCCTGTTCCGTGTGGCAGTTTGCTGCCTGCCTACTGCAGCCAGGGACCCGCCAACATTTTTAAAAAATCATAAAACTGTCTATCTTTCTACAACAATCGTTCCCTTTGATTAAAAATTTTTCTTCTAAAAAAAAAAAATTCGTCTGCTTGAAGAGAAAAAGGAAAGAGGCAGAAGGTAAGACCCTGTGGCTGAAAGGACTACTTGCCCTGGTTGCCGGACATGGTACTCAGGTCAGAACTGAGCTGGAGGCTTCTTCCCTGCCCACTAGCTCATTTATTAAGGAACTGGGAGTATTTTTTTACAACGCATTTTGATATACTTTAACTGACGTGTGTAATGGTTGTATTTTTATTTTTGAGAAGTGTTTAACATTTGGGGGGTTTGTTTTTTGTTGGTTTTAAACAGACTCTCACAGAGCTCAGCCTAGACTCAAACACACTATGTAGCAGCGGCTGGCTTTGAACTCCTGGTCCTTCCACCTCCACTTCCCGTGTGCTGGGATTAAAGGCATGCACCACACCTGGCATAAAAATCGTGTTTTTTCTGGTTATATCATCCATTGTTGTTCTCACCCAAGAGGAGCACAGGATAAATGCCTTGTGACGTTTTCACTGAGCCCCAGAGTTCCGGCTGGGAGCACACACTCCTGTGATCACAAGTCTAAGAGACCCTGAGCTGAGTGAGGAGGGCGTTGTAAAGGTTAAGCCATCCCTTAACATGGCTGTGATGGCTGCCAGCAAGCGTGACAGGACGTGTACTTTAATAAGATTACGGCACAGCTGTGTCACCATGCGGAGCAATGGCGCGTGAGTTCTGGTTCCCGTAGAGCGTTGTGCACGTCTGACAGTCAGGCTGACCTCAGTTTTCGCCCGAGGTCGGAGAGGAGTGAGCAAATGTGGTTTTGTTTTTTGTTTTTTGTTTGTTTGTTTGTTTGTTTGTTTGTTTGTTTGTTTTCACTTTACATCTATGACCCTTGAGGTTCTGAGGCTTGATGTGCCGTGGAGTTTTCCTGATTGAGAGTTTCCTGAAAAAAAAAAGACTACATTTCCCAGCTTCCCTTGCAGCCAGGCAAAGTGACTCTGGAATGAAGGGATAACGAGAGTGCGCGCACACACGCCTTGTAGTCATTTCCACTCCTCCACGGGCTCACAGACATCTTTTTCCTGCAGGCGTTCTCTTATCCACCCACGTGGATGGGACTAGGTGCCGTTGCCACCAACAAACGGGGTCCGGTTTATGCAGGGTCAGGTGCCTCTCTGTCTTCCGTTTTTGTTTTTGTTTTTGTTTTTAAGCCGGCTCAGAAATCTTACACTGATAATCATATCACACTTACGTGTTGTGCATTAAATGCTTGCCCCTGCTTGTATGTTTCCAGGATCCTTATGCCGGGAGGAGCAGCCTGACTCTCGCGAAGTTCCCCCAGTCAGGCTCCACCCAGAGGTGCAGAGATCTGCAAAGGTACGTTCCTCTGGTCTGGATCTCCAGCTACAGAGCACGCAGCTTTGGTAAGTGTGTGTGTGTGTGTGTGTGTGTGTGTGTGTGTGTGTGTGTGTGTGTGTGTGTGTGTGTGTGTGTGTGTGTTGTGGGGCACGACATAGCACTGGGGTGAGGCTAGCGCCAGTGGTCACTAGGACCATCACAAACTTGGTCACTTTCTGCATCTTCCCTGTCTTCTCACGTGCTGGCCACACTAATTTTGGTTTCCCTTAAGAATGCAAACTGGCTTCCAGAAGTTCCCACGGTTGTGAGCGTCCTCCAAAAACATCAGTAGCTTCACATGCTTTCCACTGTCTCCCAACAACAGCCATGCTGATTTCTCGGGTGGCAAAATCACTCAATGGCTCTCATCCCGAAGTACTCCTCTGTGGCTTCCTAGAACCCTAGGGATGAAACGGAATCCCCACTACCCACACACCCCAATCCTTCCCACCCAAACAACTCCTCCAGTCTTTAAAAGTCCACACCTAAGGGTCTCTCCGCCCTTCCCTCACGTTCAACCGCCCAAGTTTCAGCTCCGCCCCAGATCCGGCCTTCTCACTTATGATTGGTCTGACCTTACCGGCAGTCACGTTTCCATAAGTCAAAAATGACGCCCGTCACTCTGTCCCGCCCCCAGAGAAGAACCCGCCCTCCCGAGTCTATTTGGGAGAGGCCTTCCTAACCAGTGTAAGGAGCTCTCCCTGGCGTTGGTCCCCTTTCTGATGGTTGTTAGCCTTTCTGTCTTCCTGGCTTCTCGAGCTGATTAAGTCAAGCAGGAGAGCCTGAAATGTGTGACTTTGGGACATCAGCATAAAACCCAGGAAGTTTACACAGC